GATGCACACTTGTTCCATTACACCTAACAATAACTAATTTGGAAAGTTCAATCTCTCTCTGTGTAATAATGTTGGTGATGCTTTGTGTAATATCTGCGCTGGAACCAGAATCTGGAGTTACATGTCCTATATAAACAGAACCAGGTTCTGATAGGGTAATAATATGCTGCTCCTCAGTTATAGTAGAAAGAATTTCCCTTCTTCTTTTACACTATAGTTTTGTAGTTCCTCCCATCAAAATAAATGCCATACAAAGACTGTATTATTGTGTAGCGGTTGACTGAAGATGGGTCTATACCTTATGATGTTCTCTCTGCAGCTTACCCCTGTCAATAACTTTAGCTGGAGTATCTTTTGATAGAATTCCCTGATCATGAAGTACAGAGGATGCGATTACAGTAGTGACCTATCCGATACTGCCGCTCTATCACAAAAAACAGCTAAAGTTGTCAGAGGTATTTGCTTCTGACCTGTCTTTGTGGTTGAAGAAATCTGAGAATCAGCTGCTTTCAGACATTTGGCTTGACTAATGTAATTATTCATCATCATCTTCAGGGATGCCTTTTGAGTTAAGCAGTCAGACGGCATTCACTTCTGAGTCTGTTATTGTCATACACAATCATGCATTATCTGTATATGCCCTTGCTTTAGATTCCTGATTTTTCCTTCTTTGCTTTCTTTCTCTTATACATTGCAATTTTCAGCTTTCAGAAACGTTGATCGATCAATAGCCATTTTTCTTTTGTGCTGTCGATCTGTTAAGAAATTTTGCTGTATGCTTAGAATTTTCACGAAAGATTTACATTATTCATAATTCAAACATTTGCATGCAGAAATATCAAACAAAGTACTGTTTGCATGATCAAAGAAATCATTCTGAATTTTATCAGCCTCCTTCTGAGGTTTTGGTCTTCTTTTTACGTTTTTTACATTTCGTTGTAATTTCTTATAAGATGAATAATTTCTTGTTGGCTTACATGAGGTGGGGAGCTTTTCTTCCAAATTTTTTAAAGGTCACAGGAAGCAGTTTCGGTAATGTCCTTGACTGATGGGTCTCTCTTGTACCCTTTTCACAATAACTCATTTCATACCCAAAGAAAATGCTTCATTACATCAGCATACACAGGTAAAACTGTTTCTTCAAGTTTCAAAAATATTACAAAAGGATGCACTTCCATCTTAGTCCAACATAAACAATGACTGATAACAAACACACCAAACAACTAATCTCTACACATAATAAAAAGGAAGAGTATCTCTGTCTGTGTGTGTATGTCTTTCGTTTGTGCTGTGTGTAGTGCTAATAGACGGAGGGCTACAAAATTTGGTACATAGGTGCATCTAGACAAGAGCTAATGCATCTGTTTTTTTTTTTTTTTTTTTTTTTTTCAAAATTTGAATGAGTTTTATTTTTTATTTATTTATTTATTTTATTTTTTTATTTTATTATTATTATTATTATTATTGATGAAATTACATCAAATCTATGGCAGGCAGCAACAATGGCACGCAGCCATCATTGCTGATATATCACTGTTGCCATTGTTGCTGAGATCAGCACTGTTACCACTCAGAAAAATGAGGGTGCTAATTCTGTGCAGTTTTAAAATTTAATGTTTCTCTTGAATACTGGACGTTTGTCGTGAAGTACTTGGATACGACGCTTGTCAAGTTTGTTGAGAAGACGTTTGTTTTCTGAAACATTTAAAAACCAGACGAAGGCTGGCCGCATAGCAGCTAGTTAACAATAAAAAGTCATTAAAAGCTCATGGAAGCTACGTGCTTATTCCAAGATAGAACCAGTAGTTAAATTGGTACCCATTCTGCCACCTAGTGTCATATTTTGGCATTAAATTTGCTATTTTGAGGTGTGAAGCAAATTCTCATGCTAATAATGGCTTTTAGGACTAAGCAATTCATGAAAAAAGCATTAAACTGTTAAAAAAAGGGTCAGTACAGATATTCATTTGAGGTGTGGAACCTCAAGATGTCAATATTTTGAGCTGAAATTTGAGCACAATTTGTTCTAGCTCATTTGGAACCATATGACTTGGGCGATATGAATTTTAAAGGAAAAGGTTTTTTCACTCCACCGTTTGATGCATCTCTAATATACTCATATATTTTTTTCCATCATGATCTGGCACCTTTTATACATGATTTGCTAAAAAATTAGGATTCTTTTTTATACAATTTTTATTGGTGTTTTAACTGTATGCATTGTGATGTATATTAAGCTTTGTGTTAATGAGAATTTCAAATGGTTGAAATTGAAAGTATAGAGTAATATAGCTTGATAGGCCAAATTTAATTTGATTTCATTAGAAATATTATGATACTTGTCTTTTGTTGGAGCCTTGGCTACGTAAAATGGCATTGGTGCCATTTGGGCACCAACTTAAGAATGTGCAATTTGTTGCCTTATGTTGTGAACATCCATGCAAACAAATTTACTATAGTTACTATGGTTAAACAAATTTACTATGGTTAAATTGGCAATTCAATATCTATACCACATAAATTATTGAATAAACAGACAGAGAAAGAGAAGGAATTCAATAAAAAATTTGTACAGTACAAAGTCCGAAATGGTCTAAAATCCAAACCTCAAAACAACCACCAACAATTTTCTGGTAGGCTTTACACATGTGCATTTGATTCACCCCTCCGCGCATAATAAAAAATCTGGAGAGTCCAATTTCACTTTGACACTAAATAAAATACCTTGTTATTGAAGAAACAATAATTTTAGCATAAATTTGTACGATCAGTAATTTGGCTCCGTTGCTGCGTATCTGCTTGGCACACATCTCAAACTGAAACATTTCACATAGATACATTGTTGATCTGACGCCAACCTCGTGAATCATTATTTATTATACTTTCCTTTCATAACCGCATGTTTATCAAAACATGACAATTTGAGTAATGGCTCATGTAGCGATGCCTAAAAAATTTTTTTATTTAGTAATTGAATAATGAAGGAGTATGGTAACCTTTTATGCTGACATTACGCTTGGCGATGATTACAGGTTTAAGTTAAATGCGCTAAAAATATTGATGAGGAAAAATTTAACAAAAATTTCTTTCCATATGCTAAAAATAGATTTTGTTTTTGGTACTCATAGACATTTAGGGCTATTTGAATTAAGAATAACAGATTTGTTATTCACATAAACCCAGAACCAGTGCCAGGACTCGTATGGCCGCATCAGGTCGCAGAATTTAAGATTCACAGATACTGCATCAGGCGGTAAGATATCTAGCGCCAGCCTTCACTTAAGTATATGTGTAAATTTATTTTTTCAGAACTCTGATAAGCCTTAAGCATGTACAAGAAATAGACATAAGTATAATAAATAACTAAACTAACACAGTTCAGGCTTAATTGTCTCAGTGCACGATAGAAGCAAGATAAAATTTAACGGAACAACTTGTCGTTAGTCGCTAAGCTCATGATGCATAGGCCTGTAGAGACATTAGGTATTTTGGATGCAGGAAAGATAAAAATTTAGCACCACCTTCGCCGGGAATCGAACCACGGACCTCTGGATACGTGCCCAGCGTGCAGAATCACTACACCACAAAGGCGTGCTAAGAAGGCGAAGAAATATCTATATCCAAAGATCTACCAGTGAAGCGAAAGTAAATGTTGATGGATAGTCCAATTTTAAAGGTTTTCGCGAAACAAAAGTGAAATTTTCCAATTAACGGATTTTGTAAAGAAATGTGAAAAAGCGGTAATAAATGAAGATGATATAAAAGAAGTTTTTCATTGTGATGACAGTGCTTCTCAATCATCAAGCAATTAACAAATGTCGAAATCTGGAGTATGGTTATAGACCCAGAAAATACCACTACCGATAACGAAGAAAGTGAGAGAATTTACTGAAAACGAAAAAATTTCGATTGACAAGGTATTTGATTCTAGTTATATTCTCGACACAGCTGTTACTGGACATCAACAATGTAACTGGACAAGAGATTATGTCAGTCTACAGAATTAAAGAGAAAGTATTAGCACAGAAAATGAAGCAACTTAAACAACTTACACTGAAAGAAATGTTTAATAAGGTAAACAAATAAATATTGAGTTGTTTTTTTTTATTACCCTTTGGATCATAAATACTTCATTATTTCATAAATCATGATTTCATATTTTTAATTTTATAATTTCTACATGCCATCTTACTAGATTTAAACTGATTATCTAATATCCAGAAAAATCCCAAATCTGGACTCGCCGAAGTCTCGACGAGTCCAGATTTCAGACTTTGTACTGTATTTATTTTAGTATTTAATATAATTTTGTCTGAAATATATTTAAACTAATAACATAATTCCACACAACTTATTTAATATATATATATTAGATATTGTATTTAATACAATTATGTAAGTAATTTATTTAAAATAACAGCATACGTAAATAGGCCAAAATATTCTACCTATTATTTTACTTAATAAAATTTTTTAGTAATTTCTTAAAAAACACGATATATAAACATACCAGAAAAGTTATTTTTGACTATATCTTTCTGGCACTCACAGCTCAGGATTTGCTACTAATAATGCCTCAAGCATCAACTATAGCTTTGTTTTTGGATGATAGAAGACTGAAAATAATAAGCATAAGGTATATTTTACAATGAAAAACCACCATATTGAACAATGCAAGTATAAAGAACCAGTTTGCTTCTCGCCCATAAAGAAATGCACCAAATCCATTTTCTCCACAAGGCTGTTGCAGCAGACAAGTACCAATATTATTTTAATTAACGAGGTTATGAGTATTTTCAAGGTCTGATAGGAATTAAAAGCAAATAGTGTTGGAAATGATTAGTTTTGAAATGTTTAGTCTTCTTATAAAGTTGCTGAACCAAAAATTTCATTTTATTATTTAGGAGTGATAAAAATATTTTTGTTAAAAATTTATTTCCTTCATTCGAAGATTTATTAAAAAATATAAATGCTGTTTTATTGTATTATATTTATAATAGGAATTACCAACAGGAGAAATAGAGGTTGAAGTTACGAATATTAATCTTTTGAATGCAAGTATTCCAGTGCTACCTATATCTGCTAAGAATCAAGAAAAGGTTAGTTACTTATATTAGTTGACTGTCAGTTGTAGAGCCATGTATATGCATATGCATATTTATATTCATATACACATTTTTTCACATAGTAATGGATCCATTATTAGCTGAATGAGTAAAACTACTGATTGCTAATAGTACAGTAATTTAAGAAAGCATATTTTGTATGTAATTTAGAAGAAATCCTCTTTCAGGGTAATTTATTGCACTGGCTAAGTATGGTAATCTTAGCTTGGGGAGTAAAATATACACAACTGGATTTCAAAAAGTTTTTGCTTTGATTTTTGTAATTCTAAACGTTTTCATTATTATTGTGAATTAAAATATGCCTAATTCATTCTGGAATTATCATTTAATTTATTAAGTTATCCCATTATTGACTGTGCGTGGTGTCTAGTACAACAACCTGGTGACCCAAATGAATAATTTCTTCTAACCATCAAAATCATGAACATGGACAGTTCTGTTCTGAACACTACTGGTGAAGAATTTACAGGAAATAAGGTGAGCATTAAAATTCTATCTTTTTGTGAGAAGAAACACTGGACACTTGGTCCTTCCAAGTTGAAGCACAGTTCTCAGTTGTTAATATTATCCATAATCGGACTAAATTTATCTATCTCGTAGCACAAGTGGAACCAAAAGTAGTCAAAAGTATATGGGATAAAGAATGACTTGTAAAGGAAGCAAAGGAAAATGTATCATAAAATTGCTTACAGGAATTTTTCTCGTCGATATGAAATTAAGCCAGTTATTGCATAAAATCGAAATACTTGCTGGAACAAATATAACCAATAAAGTTTTGTGAACCTTGTCTCTCGGCAAAATGCAAGAATCCATTAAAAGTATTTTGAGTGTGAGTAATGAAGCCTTAGACAACTGTTTGATAATGGTGGATAAAATATTTGAAATGAACTCAAGGTCAGAAATTTATTCTGCTCGTTCAGACAATTCTGTAATAAATACTGTGCTTGATAAAATCTATTACTTAGAAAAACAGATTTCAGAACTAAATGTTCACAGACAGTCTGGAAGTAAATATCGACATTCTTGCTTTAACTGAAGCAAGAGTTATAGTCATTCAAGGAAGAAATATAATCTCAATGGACAATAATGCTACATTTGATGTCATAAAATTTAAAGTGCTACTGTCACTTTAAATTTGGTGATAAATGTTACCCTAATAAATTTTAAACCCTATGTAGTTGAAGGTATCGGGAAACTCTGATCAGCAGTAGATTTGATGGCAGGTTCTGCTGCAGATGAACTAAAAGATTGCTGTAAATACCAGTTATTTTTTACCAATAAAACAACCAGTTTACACTTTCGTGTAGACAGTGATGCTGACCTATCAATCATTCCGACAACATCAAACTATAAAATATATAATTCTTTTAAAGTGTATGCTGCAAATGGATTAATAATACCCACTTTCAATTTCAAAATTTTAATTGATTTAGGCCTGCTTCGGTCATTTTGATTTTCTTTCATAATCGCTAAATTGGATCAAGCTATTTTAGGTGTAGACTTTTTAAACAAATTTAAATTACTCATTGATATGCATAACAGAAGTTAACCGATGGTGTCATAAATTTATCTTTTCGAGACCATGTTATGTGTGTAACAAGTGTGGATAGGGTAAGCATGACTGATAAAAATTCTAAATTTAGATATTTCTTATTACAATATCTGAATAATAAATAAATAAAAAAAAATTGCTAATTTCCAACTCTCAAAATAATGTAAAGCACTGTATAGTTAATACTATAGGCCCTCCTGTTTTTTCAAAAGCTCACCAGATAGCAAACACCTGATAGCACCAAATGCAAATAAACTAAAATTGGACAAATAATATTTCAAATTTATGTTAAAAAACACCATAACTAGACCTTCAAAATTGCCGTGGTCCAGTCCACATCATTTAGTTTTTAAGGAGGCAGAAAGTTTGCAATAGTTCAGGGACTACAGGCATTTAAATGCCAAAAATTGACCTATTGACAGCTTACTTTCAGATTACAGGTATGGAAGAGGATGAAAAGAAAACAATAATAATAATGCCATTTGGGTTATATGAGTTTAACATTATAAGCTTTGGGTTAACGAATGCTCCATTCATCGTTTCAATGATCATCAATGAAGTGTTTTTCGGACCAGCCTTTGTTTTCGCATATTTTGCATATTTAATGTTTTAGTAGCTTCATCAATGCAAGATGAACATTCAGAGCATCTAAAACTAGTCCCCCCCCCTCAATTAGAACAATACGGTCTTCATATAAATCTTGGAAAGTCAGTTTTGGGAGTGAATCAAGTAGAATTTCTAGGGAACATGATTACTCTGGAAGGCTCGAAACCCCTTCCTGAAAAAGGAAATGTCATCTTGAATTATAAATTACTGGAAACCATTCACAAATTGTGTACTTTTCTTAGTCTAATCAATTTGTATAGGCTATCAAGGATGCTGTCAAAAGTCAGGCACTTCTCCATGAGTATTTGAAAGGTGCCAAAAAAAAAAGATAAAAGTAAAATAACATAGACTGAAAAAGCAAAAGAAAAGGCATCAAAAAAACGATTGTACAGTTTCCTAAAGTCCTATTTTACTGCCATGGAGGCAAAGCAATCCCTTTGTTTTCTTTTCCAAAAAAAAAAGTTAACTAATGATCAAGAAAGCACTTAGGCAACTTTTTACATACAGATCAAACCTTAGGCATCTTCTTGAAGGAAAAAAGTCAAGACCAAAAGAAGGATATTTTCGTTGGCCAAAAAAATAAGTAAGCCTCACCTAGACATCTCCTCCATTTAGAATTTATATCAAAGTTTTCAACCAATATTTGCCACATTGAAGGAAAAGAAAATGTTATTATAAATTCGTAATCCTGGATAGAATCTATCTCTGAAATAGAATATAGTAAAATTGTGGATGCAGAAATTGATGATAAAGATCTTAAAAAGCTATGTTCAAAACCATCTTTACATTTTAAACAATATCCTTTGAACCCTAGAAAACTATTTTGGTGTGATATTTTAACAGCAAAAAAAAATTCGTTTTTTTTTAAAGCATATTTTTAAAAAATTTCCCAAAATCTCCATATTAGTATCGTCTACAAGTTAAGTCACAAAAAAGCTTCCAGGTTTATTTGGCTAAACATTTAAAAAATATGCACATCAACAGCATATCACCTATAGTGCAATGAGAAACCTGAAGGGAATCATCAGACTTTAGACGTTGCATACACAAATTTATTAAATGGACTTAAACCTTATCAACAGTTTTTTTTTGGGGGGGGGTTTAAATTGGCTTTGCGTGGTGGTACAAATTATACTATTGCACAAATTAGTTGCAGTCACCTATCAGATCACTAGAAAAAAATTTTTAAGAAACCAAAAAATATTTTTACCAAGTTGTTTTCTAAAAAATTACAGAAACAAATGGTATTTATCACACATCTTCATGCATGATGATAGAGTTTAAAAATATTAGAACATCCTTATGATGGACCATTTTTAGTTGTGAAAAGGCAATAAATCTTTTATTGTGATAATCAAAACTACTGTAATACTCAGTTGCGGAAACCTTCATTTAAAAAAATAAAGTATGATGGACAGTCATTTTAGTTGGGAAGTGATTTTTTTAAAAAACAGCAGTTAAAAGAATAAAGTATACCAGTTAGGCTAATATTTTTCTGGCAGAGTGAGTTTGATGTTAATTTGGAAGGATTTCCCTTCTACCTGAAAAGTATTAATATAGCTATCGAGATAAGAAATTGTTTAATATGATTTTGATATACAAAAATAATATCACAACATTTTTTCTTATTTTATCCACCTTGTGTGTGTATGTATCATTTAGTTTGAAATTATGCAATAGACTTTTCTTGTTTACTTGTATTATTTGAGGGGGGATAAATTTATTTTAGGACCAAAAACAATATTGTGATTTTATTGTAACTGATTTTCGAATGTTAGTAATTTTGAATATTTCTTGCAACTTTGTTTTTTTCTTCCAGTTTGCTCTAATATACTGAATTTTTCCTTTTTAATACTTATAGCCATTTCAGCACTTAGTGTATGCTATGAAAAAATAGAGAGACGGGGGAAGGAATGAAGATAAATATATGCAACAGTCCAGGGTTAAAATATTGATTCAATTTTTACAGAAGATTACTTATTTCATTTTTTTTTTTTTAACATAGCTGCTTAGTTTCATCATGGTGTTTATATATTGCTAAGATAATTAATTATCAGGTGATAGGATTTGGTGTAATTTTAAAACCCAGGTAAAGTTTTTAATGTGTGCCTGTAATCTGATTTAATAAATGTACTGGATAGGTATTGTGGTGATATTAACACATTTTCAGCAATCAGAAATGAAAATGGCAAAAACGTTAAAAGAAAGGATAGAATGCAATTGCAATTACTTTTGTTATTCATTTTTTATAGGACAAGGTGATCTTCAATATGATGTTGTATGTTATTTATTTAAGCTTTCAAAATTATTTTAAGCTCATCTCAGTGGTTTAGATATTCAGTTATAAAAAGTGCTTGAGATTTTACAGTATCCTGAATATAACTAAATGATAGACCACTATAATCTGAAATATAGTTAAATGATAGATAAATTTATAATTTTATATCACACTGTTCAGATTTGTGTATGCTCTCTTTTCATAGGTAAATGATGTTACAAAACTTAAGTATAGATATTTATATTTACGGAATCCTAAGATTCAAGAAAATCTTCGAATGCGATCCAAAATATTGATGAAAATGAGAGAATTTTTGCATGAAAGACATGGTAAGATACATTATGAATTGCATGCATAAATAAATGCATTTTCTACTTAATATTTTTTTTTTTTTTTTTTTAACCAGGTTTTGTTGATGTGGAAACACCTACACTTTTTAAGAAGACACCTGGTGTTGAGTAATGTTAAAACTATTTTAATAACTGATTTAAATTTTAAATCTTGCAAATAGTGAGAACTTTTTCCGTATTTTATAGTTTTGTAAATTACGTGAAAACAGAAAATTATTGAAATTCTGTAAGCATTGTATTAAAAGTTATGTCCAGTATGCATTAGAGCATCAGATAACAAATATCTTATTTCTTTGCTTCTAAGATGCACCACTTTTTTTCATCTTAAAAAAAGTGTGCATTTTCTTAAAAAGGTCTCCAGTTTTTATCAAATTTATTCTGAAGTTATTAATTTGAATGGATAAATTATTTTGTTAATAAATCATAAGTGATTATTAAAAATATTTGCTCAATTTTGGGCATTTTTTTCATCTGTTTTATTTACTTGGAGTCAGTCTTTTATTCATTGAGTGATATTGATTATAAGGTATTTTTCCCACTTTCCTAGCGGGCCCTTATGGTGTAGTGGTTCTGCATGCTGGGCCGGTATTCCAGAGGTCCGTGGTTCGATTCCCGGCGAAGGTGTTGCTAATTTTTAAATTCTCCTACTTCCAAAAATATACCTAATGTCTCTACAGTGGCACTCGAACTAAAAGGGTGTTGAATGAGGTTTCTCCACACCCAGGATTTGGCGATTGAGTCCCCTAAAATCCCCAGTCGCCCTTTAAAAAGGGGAGTATGTAAGGTATTTCTCCCGCTTTCCTAACGTGCCTTCGTGGTGTAGTGGTTCTGCACACAGGGCCTGTATTCCAGAGGTCCGATTCCCGGCGATGGTGTTGCTAATTTTTCAATTCTACTTCCAAAAATATACCTAATGTCTCTACACTGAAATTAAGAGGTATGTTTTAGAATCAGAGAAGTTATATAGGTAGTATATGCATCTATATGTATGTTTATTCATATGTATACATATAGTTGTGTGCAATTAACATGAACACAGTTGGTTTTTAGGTATTTGTATATAAATATTGAAAATTACTCCAATATGTTACATTTAGTTTGAAATATAACCATTTCTGGCTTGTATAACTTGTTTGATACATTTTGGCATAGATTTTATCAAGTTTTGGCACATTACCTCATCATCATGAAACCGTACTTGAATTAAAGAAGAAATCATCCTTACTTTGCTTGTATAGTTGATTTTCCACATTCTTTTCTTGAGAATTGCCCACAAGTTTTCTATTTGATTGAGATTGAGCAAATTTCCTGGCTAATTTAAAAGCTTAACATCATTTTCTTCAATAATGTTTTTCACTTTTTTAACGTTTGGCACAGAGTAAAGTTTTGTTAGAAAATGTCATGAAACGAAAGTTATTCTAGATCAAATGTCGAATCACTCATAATCCAAAATGAGATGCATGGCCTGGAGGGTTTTCCATAAATTTTAATTAAACTTAATATTTACATATATACAATGTAGGCTAAAATAAAACCGAATCAATATTTTAAGGCTCAAAAAGCAAGAAACTGAATAGTTCCATCAAAAAGAATCTGAATTGAATTCTATTGCGTAGTGGCATCGCAATTCTACCTTCAAGAAGAAGAATATTTTTTCCAAGTCACGTGTTCAGAAGGGGAAAGGGTTAAGTAAGCCAATAGTGGACTCCTAACGCCATCTCTTGGCGATATCAAAAGAATATTCCTTAACCCATCCCCCTGCCCTGAACTTGATAAGAGTCATCTAACTCAGTTATACATACAATCAAGTACATTAAAATCAGTATCTATAAAAATACAAAAAATACTAATTAGTCAAGCACTTCAATTACAAACAGGTTATACAACAATGTATCAAATAATAATGTTATAACTAATAAATAAACTAAGTTAAAACATTTTCAACTAACTAAACTAACGATAACGATAATCAAGAAAAAAAAATAAAAAAAATAGAAAAAAAAGCATAATAAAAAACGTTAAAAGTGCAAGAGGTATACCGTAATTTTCCGGAAGAAACGCCGCGGTGTTTATGTGTTTTAAAACTTAATTTTTTCAGCGTGTTGTGGCGTTTCTACCCATGCGGCGTTTAGGTGCACTAAAAATAAAAAAATTTCCTATGATGATGTTTGAAAGTTTGGAGGCCTGTCATGTACTGGACTGGTGTTTTTTTCCACACAGACCAACCACTTTTTGCAGTTATTTTGAACCATTTTCTTTCTCTTGAATGACCTACATGCCTTATTCCTAAACGGAAAAACAATAATTTTCCCCCTTTCAAATCAAAAATCTCGAATAGTACTCTCTCTCTCTGCCATTTCGATGAATCTTCCAGGACCCATTCTTTCCCACCTTGCCTTTTTCTGCAATTTTTTTCAAAAGGCGGAACACGATTCACCTGCTCACAATAACGAACTGTAACGTATTCCCCTTCAGCATGAATGGAATTTTTTTCTTGGCATTCTGCCAGATACAATCCCATCAGTTTGGGTACAGTACTTGTTGGATAGTTTTAAGTGAGAAGGGAGTGGAAATTTTGAAAAAACTCCCTAAACGGCACAGAAAGCTATACTGCTGGTTTTAAACTTAAGTAAATTTCACGTGCTGAACAAATTGGAAATCGAGCAACAGCTCGGAGAGTTTGAAGTGGAGACAGATGTATTCGAGTTAGAAGAACTGAAAACAGAACTTCTTAAAATATGCCACAACAGAAACGAGCCAAAAGAAGTGGTACGTAAGTGGCCAATTAGAGGGGAGGACGGCAAACTGGATAAAGGAGCAACGAAGGGAATGGAATTTCGACTGTAAAAATTCGCTACAAGCAAAATTTATAGCAACTGAACATAAAATGATTTCAAGGAGGTGTGCAGATTTATGAAAAAAAAAATTATTCTGTGCGTACTAAAACAACAGCCAGGGCAACAATTACCAGTCACCGGCAGGATAAAAAGTCATTTTTTAAAAATTGTGACAGCTATTATTGACAAAAAAAAAACTTCTTCGGTCGCAGATAAATAATATGGGATGAAACGCAGTTAGCTTTGACTCCTGCAAAACAGAACTGTGATGAAACTGGTGCAAAAACTGTCTCTAGGTTTTAGACGGGGCATGAAAGAAACGTCATTAGATTTGCTTGGCCGCAAACGTGACAAAAGCGATGACTTTTTAAACGAAAGACTATTCCCAAGGGAGATGGTATGTCATATATCAGGACTTAGGTTGAGTTTTTGCATTTATACAGCCCACACCGATGTCACGCGCAATTTAATCTATTGCGGCGTTTCTGTGTGATTTTAATTTTTTTCCCGCCATTTTTCTCGAGTGCTGCGTTTACGCTGATGCGGCCTTTCTTCCGGAAATTACGGTAGATGTTTATTAGTACGTTTTAAAGTCCCATTATCAGTTTTTAATTCGAATGATCGGACTTTACTATCACGTCTAGGAATATTTTTTATGATTCTACCAAGTTTCCATAACAATTTGTTTTTATTATCTCCTTCAACTAAAACAGCATCTCCTGTCTTTAGTTCTGGTTGAAGTTTCTGATTCTTCAAGAAATGGGCAGTTCTAAGATCTAATAAATATTGTAGCTTCCATTTTGCCCCACAACTCTTTAACAGCAATTCTTGAAAACGCTTTCTTTTAAAGCGTTCTCTTGTCGTCATACCGATGATTCTAGCAAAAGTCAAAGGGATACTTCAAATCAGTTGTCCAATGTTTAGGAGTGCATTGGAGTTAACGGTGTGGGGCTATCTCTGAGGTCGTGAATTAGGAAATGCTCCACTTGACAAGTAGTGTAGACATTCTTCGAAAGTCAACAATGCTTTTCCTACGATTTTTTCTTAAACATTCTTAACAGATCTGGCAAGTCTCTCATAAAACCCTCCCCACCATGAGTCATTCGATTATAAATTTCCAATGGATTTCTTTTCTTTAGCAATGAAAAATTTTGAATTGTTCTTTGAAAAAATTTCTCAAGTTCTTTTTGTCCTCTTAAAGGTCTTGGCATTACGAGTAGATGATATGCAGTTTCCTTCTGCTCAAAAATTCACGAAATGAAGAAAAGGATTCTGTTGACAATCTGATAGAAGTTATAAATGTACCGCTCTGGTTAGAACAAATGAACAATATGGATTTTCGAGTGTCTTTAAAATTCTTTACGTAAACTGTCCGGCGAAATAATTCCACAGACTGCAAATGGGAGGTGATTTTGGTTCATCCTTTTACTGTCATCTGGTCTGCTGATTTAGGAATATTTGGCAAATTTAACAACCTTTAATGCTTTTTTGACTAACTGTCATCCTTTAGGATCCAAAGCGTGATCGACTTAGTAAAGTTGCGCAATTCCTCCATGCATTATCTTCTCATGTTCTTTGCGTACAATTAGTATTGTCAATCGGGAATTTTTAGGTAGGATTATTGGATGTTTGTTATCTAGTGAGAAGTGAGAAAATTCCAATCTTTCTCTCAACCTCATGATTTTCTTTTCATCAATGAAAGGAAGAAAGTTGTACAAAGGAGAATTTTTTTTCAACCAAATTACCTTTTTTAAGGGATTTATGTTCTTCGGCAAAAACTTCTTTTGCTCTGACCTTATCCAGAAATTTTCTTCTTCTTGTAACTCTTCAGCTGTGAGAGTTCCTTGAATGTCGCTAGTTTTTCTTAATTTACTAATAAAATGTGTTGTTCAAGCAGTAGTGACTCTTAACCCTTCTCTATTTGCTATATTCGATATGTTCAAGATTTTCTTTTTCGATGTACATTCAAGTTGATGTATCTAACGGGATCCCATTTCAATATTCCAGTTGTTTCATTTAGTTTCTTTAAATTTAATCTTGGCAAAGTTTCCGTGAGGGAGTTGAGCCACTGGGGCCTTGAGTCCAATGGTCTTGTTTATTAACTTGGAACTTTAGTCCCCAAGATACGCGATTGCAGGGTTGTCGAACCCTGAGGCAATATGCCATTTGAGGGAACTAATTTTTGATTTCTTCAACACAGATTCTGGACAACGGGTTTTGAGGCTTCAGGTTTGTTTTGGATAACAAAAATAAGTAATTGTTAAAG